AGATGGATTGAAGATACTGACGTAAACAGAGTTTAAACAGAGTTTTTTAGGCCTGGCACTGAGATATGTCAGTTTTTTTTAAGAAAAGAGCTCTTTTCTAATCACTTCCGGCTGAAAAGAATAATCTTCTAACAAAATAAACTGGAAAAGGCTTTATGATTTTGAGACATATCACTGAAACAAAGGGATTAAGAACACTATTTGGGACAGGCTTTTTTGCCAAGTTGTCATCCGTTAATGGCCGATACATCCATTTTCCTTTTTAACACACTAAAACAGCATTGTAAATTGGCTGAAAAGTAGAAACAAAAACCCAAAAGAACAGCTATTGTCCAAAGAAAAATATTAAAAGAATAATTTGAAGCCACTTTAAAAGGTAATAGAATAAAAAATGACTCAGGGCAAATACAATTCTAACGACATTTCGGAACCTGCATTGCTTATTTTCCACATTTTCGGGTTGGGGTTGTGTTTTTCTGGGCAGGTTATCAGTTTAAGATACCATGATACCATTTGTTACCATGACAATTATCACACTAACACAGAACAGATTTCAATGCATTATGATTTTTGGGAAAAAGGAAGCCAAAAGGTACTGGTTTCAATGAGAAATGAGGATTACTTTCCAAGGATTAAATTGCATCTTGTATCAAAATTGAGGCTCTCTACGTTTTTAATGCAAGTGGAAGCGATTTGATAGAGAATGAGTCACTCAGCCATCGAGAGATGCAAATACCTGTATCAGAGTTTCAGGAAAATCTCCCATTTCACGCACCGAATAACACTGTTTTGTTCAATTTTACTGAAAAGTTGCTTTCTCTTGTGTAAAAGTTGTCAACTTCTCATGCTGCTCCCAAATTAATTGTTGTTCACATGGCGGATGTTTTGGTAAATATGAATAATCACGTTTTTTTTTTTTTTTGCAGTTTTCCTCACAAAAGCACTTAAACGCTTTCTACTCCCAGCAGGAAATGCAATAGGAAGGACTGCAGGGGGATAAGTTTCTAGAAATAAACCGCGTTTCCTTTACAGCGAGTGGAATGGAGCGTAGGCCCCCAGCTGAGCTGATGTGAGCTCTGCTCACAGATCCGTGCTTATCCACGGTGGCGCTGATCAAAGGGGGAATCCATCGATGTTCAAGAGATTCAGTCAGGTCGGGAGGAATGACTGAAGGTAGCTGGTATGTTGGAGCATTCAGGTAAAAATTCTTAAGGCAAACTGGGCTGTAGGTGTCTGTCGGCGTATCGCTGCATGTCGCCAATATAATGTTTGCATATACGTTTCTACAGCCTTATTTTCCAGTCTGGCTAAAGTCTTCATCCATTTATGTATGTATGTATGTATGTATGTATGTATGTATGTATGTATGTAT